ACAATTTTCCCCCAGTGTGGTGATTTTACCTACCTTCCTGTCCAAATTACGGTGTTCACTGGACCATGAATGAAGGGAAACTTTCCAATAAAGACCTAGACAGCACTAAAAAGCATAAAGGTTCCAGTGCTTCCATACTCAGTCAAAAATAAAAAGAAAGATCTGAAGCGGCAAATGGCCGCTGCTATAGAAACTCCTGTGGTCACATCGATCTCAGATTAGCAGGGCTTTCTGTTGAGAAATCCTCTGCTAAATGTTACATTGTCTTGACCTAGAAGTGTTTTCCTCTGGCAGAGTTGGTGTTGGTTATTTAACCTCCCTGGCGGTATGATTGTGCATGTTTTTAGCATGCCAAAGCGGTACATTTGTTTTTCATGGCAATTTGTTGTTTTATATTGTAGGCCTGTAAATCTTAGGAATAACTCACTAAATCTGTCCAAACAAGAGTCCAGTAGACATCCCGGGTATGAAAGTTTGAAACACGAAATCATAAATTATAATATAAGAAATTATAATATAATAATAATAATAAAAAAGGTCCAGTAAATGGGAATTCTGCCTGATCCGTACCAGAGTCAATAGAGTACAGTAAAAGTGTCAGGCAGGGCACTGGACAAAGCTCTGGGACAAAATTGAAGTGAAATAGTTTGATAAATATATGTAATTATAGCAGATTGCATTGTATTCTGTGTAAATGTCATGTTTGCACTTTTGAATTTCCCGCCGGCTACGCCTGTGACGCCCAAAAACGAAACTAAATGCCGGCATCGGCCGGGTGAACACAGCAGAGGACACCGCGGGCTCGCAGGGACAAGGTAAGTGACACTTTTGCGCAATCCCGAGTGTGGCTACTGCTCTTGGTACTGAAAATTAACCCCGAGCCACACTTGGGAATACCGCCAGGGAGGTTAAAGGGTTTCTAAACCCTCCATTTTTTTGCATATATCTACTGCTAGCAAGTTCGAATTTTGGGTCGGGAGACTAGGAGAGGCGCAAGGTAAGTCTATGGACATGTACACCCGCATGCAGACACCGTGGGACAGGAAGTGCCAGCAAGGACAGAGGAGTCAGCGCTGGATCGGAGACCTGCAGCACCGCTGGAGGAACAGATGAAAAGGACAGGAAAGAAGATCGGATTAAGAGGCATCATTTAAGGTATGTGTTTTACTTGACATTGGGGGGAGGGGAAAAAATGATTTTAATGTCACTTTAAGCTTATGTTTCGGTTGAAGTAGGGATCCTTGGTTTAGTCTGGGATTTCAGTACTGTGGCTTGCAATCATTTTAATATCCGAGACCCGTTGCATTCTAGCCTGCAATTAAAAAGCAGCATAGATTCTGAAAATTTGTGGTTTGTTTGCTGGTTAGATAGCGATGACAGAAATATTGAAATGCATGCCTCTGTATATAGCAGTTGATCTTTTTATATAAATGAATGTATTTGCTTTCCTTATAGCAGGTTTGAGCATTGCAATTTGGCTAGTGAAAGTGAGAAAAAGAAGATAATAAAAATCAGCCTGCTTCCAGCGCTGTCACAATTTTTCACAGCAAAGTAATATTTTCATGGCTTCTGGTTTCCATGAAATCTGTCACCTATGTGAAAAATATACGGCCTTAATCATCAGATTAATATCCCCCTTGGGGCTGTACAGATCATTTCTGAGCTCTGTTTTCTGCTCATTCGTATACTTTCATATATAGAGGGAAAGCATTATTGTGCCTCTGCACCTTTCATATGTGCAGTGTATATGATTATCTTCCAGGCCATTGTCTTTTACATGTCCCTTTCTGCCTTTCACATCAGCTGCTTCTGAAACCTGTGATATCCATTAGTAAATGTGTATATTTGAAAGGAAGGAAATGAATCATTGTTCTAAGAACCATTATAAGCAAGAGTTTCACTAGTGCAAGGGAATGCAACGGGGGGCTGTTCAAGACTACAAAATCTAGATTTGTTTAGTCAGGTAAATTGACATTTTCCATATACATATTTTACATTTTCAGATATGTAGGTGAAGTTCCAGGTTTCCTTTTTTAAAGCTCAGTTGTTGTTGATGAGCCAATCTGAACCAATGGAAGTATACATAAATATTCATATCTGGAGTTCAGCTTTAAAGTGCAACTGCAGGCAACAAGAAATGCATAGAAGTAAGCAGTTTTACCTGCTGAAATATTTGACCTCAGTCCATGTAGTTCTGAGATTTACACTGCACATAGCCCTGTCTTGACAGGGGAGGAGGCCGGCTTTTCTCTCCTGTAGTTCAGTAACTTATAGGTGTCATCCCCCACCCTGTGACTGGACAATGAAAGGAGAAGCATCAGACTAATGAGCTCATCTCTCACTTTACTCTCCCCTCCTGTCAGCATGCTTCTTGCACTGCAGCACAACTGATTGGCTTCTTGTGCTACCTCTATGTTTTAGCTCTGCTGTACAAGGACTGCAAGAGGCAGATATCTGCTCAAATGTTGGTACTTACATTGCATTTGAAAAATCATTTTAAGTATGTATTAATGAATACTGTGCTTCGTTAATTTGAGTCTTTATATCCATCTAGAGTTTAGCTGTAAAAACACACCACATTTATGTCTTTTAATTTTACATTTTCTGCTAACATGGTGAATGGACTTCTCCCTTTTCTCTGGGGAGCATGAATGGGCTAGGGTATGGCTAGCTCGAGGTGCCTTCAAGCTTCATTAATCTCAAGTCGTCATGTGTGGTGGCTTGTCTGCTCTCACATAGATGTTATTTGGCTATACAGTTAAGGTGCCATACTCAGGCACCACCTTTGGCTGACGGGCTTATAACAGAGCAACAAATTGCTATTAAGGGGAAAAAAAAGTGAACATGTGTCTCCCAGCATTGCTTATCACAGGGATGAACACTAACAATCATGCTGTGTGTGACCCATAGAAACAACATTGTCATCTCGTGTCACCTATGGCCTGGCTCCTGACATTGTTGCTGAGATCTGTGTTCTGTAGACTAATGGATACTCTGTATGCAAAAGTAGTTTATATTTCAAGTATATTAACAAGAATCACTGTTACATTTCCAGCTATATTGTAAAGGATGTTCAACATTCTAAATGTTTGTTTTTTACTTTTTAAACCCTGCAAAAAAAACTTCTCTTGGTTGCTTCTTTTTGATCTTTTAAATAAAACATTTCAAGTGTTTTTTGTTGTAGCTGTTCTTTAAGGGCAAAACAATTCTTGATGATTCTGCCATAAATCTAGTGTGCTCCTAGCTTTATGTTGTAAGCTAAGAATGCTGTACTGAAACAATGTTATCAGCCTTGCCCAGGTTCCCTCTGTAGTGTACAGAACCCCGTTTCAATAGAATACCTCCCTAACGCACTTAGATGTAGGGGACAAATCTGCTCCTCCGTAGATGCAATACAGTGAGTGGGTATTGTCACACTTAGACGTAGGTTACTGGCAGGATCACCAGGTGAAAATAAAAGAGGCTAAATAGCCTAAAGAAAGGAAACTAATGCACTGGTAAGCTGTGGCATGTTAGATAAACTTTGAGAGTCAAATTAACTAATTGAAAATGAATGTAATATTTTTTTGTTATATATTGTACTGGGGTCTGGTGATAATGCCTTACTTATTAATGTGTGTCCAAACAAATTCATGCTTTAGGCTAGGTTCACACAATTTACCGGACCACATCTGGAATGTAGTGCATTGCGTTTTTGCCACGATTTTACCGTGTTCTGGGGCTGGGGGTTCCTCCCCCCATTTAAAGCTTTAAATTGGCTCTCGGGTGCGTTTCATGCATTATTTATGCATTCCAGTGCATTCCAGATCATACAAAATGAGACATGCAGTATTTTTCTGGTCTGGACCGGACTGCGCTGGTGTGAACAGAGGCCAGAAATAGCATAAGGATACATTAGGATGCATTTTGGGTCCGGGAAACGGTCTGGTCTGGAGATGATGTGGTGTGAATGGGCCCTTAGGATTTAAATTGTTGGAAAGGATTGGAACCTCAGTCATGTTTGTATTGCTGGCTGTATGCCAGTTAGGGAAGTCACCCTCTGTTTTTGTTCTTTTAGACCGTATTTACAGATACAAAGTGATGGACAATTCAAAACATTATAGCTACCACTAGAACATAAGGTGCGGGTTAATCTTCTGATAACAGCTGTTTAAGAGGGTACATTTGTAGAAAGTTCTCCTTACTTTCTGTTGCAACCCTGGGACAGGAAGTGAAGGAAACATTCTCCCCAAATTGATTGATTTTAAGCCTTTCCTACTCTATACAAACTATAAAAAAAAGTTTTTTGGGTTAAACAAAGATTATCAGTGCTGTGAAAGATTTTCCCGGCAGGCAATATTGTGACATCTTCAAGGTAACTGGTGATAGCAAAGAGCTCCATGTCTGAGATCTTAATCTAACCACATTGCCTTTGTGGCATTAGTGGTGTGTTTAAATTCCTTTCTGTGTTTAGTCTGGTGCAGTGAAACCTAACCTCCAGACAGCCTCCTCTACAAAGTACTTGAGTCTACAGAAACTGTACTGGCTACCTTTACAAACACTAATAATTTATGAATGCTCATGTTCAATCAATCAGAAACTCCTTGTGCTCTCTAGAATCCTCTCACCTAGAAAAGTGTAATGCATGCTGCGACCCACTGAACACGGGATCGCGACCCACTTTTGGGTCACGACCCACCAGTTGAGAACCAAGGCTCTAGAACACTTCTTTTGTCCTAATTTTACCAATCGGGCAGTCTGCTGAGATATGTGAAAGGTTTTGTCCACTCTGGCAGTACTACTTTGTAAAAATGTTTCTGGAGCTTAGTCTCTTCACGTGAGTTGCTTGACAAACAATCTAAATGGAGTGCTTTTGAGAAGTCTTGAGTTTGAATGTGCCATTGGAAATCAGTTACTGTGTTTTCATCCATTCTTCAGGAACATTAAAGATAACGGTTGCATGGAGGTTAAAAAAAATGTTAATCTATTTTAATTGTGTTGCATATATTTGCATTTTCTAGGGTTTCTTCCTTACCGTCTCTCCTGAGGCCATCCTTAAAGTTGCCACACAATCCTCCGATAACAACAAGATCTTCTGCATGAACCTTTCGGCACCGTTCATCAGTCAGTTCTTCAAGGAGCCCCTTATGAAAGCCATGCCTTATGTGGACATCCTTTTCGGGAATGAAGCGGTGAGAAAATTGAGATCCATAATTTTCTAGGATGTGTTTCAGGGCCTGTGCACTCTTACTCGCCTGTGTTGCTGCAGCACAGGTTAAAATATGGTCACTCACTTCCAACGCATTGTAGTGTTCCATGAAAAAAATGCAGCAGGTATGAATGTAGGTGCATTGTTAGGTGGCCCATTTAAATGGATGGGCTCCATAATGCAGCACATTTAATGTGCATTAAACACACCACAATGGACCTGACTGGTGTGAATGAACCTTAAATGTACAGGCCACCAAGAAATTATATGTCAACCTTTGTTCCCCATGGTTCCTGTGTATGTTGTAATATAGCCACCACTCCAAGCTCGCTCCCGTGAGGGACTACAATCTCAATAGAAATGAGAAAACTAAATGTGAGATTGTAGTTCATCAAATGAACAAGCTTGGAGCTGTGGCTACTTTACAGCACACACAGGGACCATGGGGGACAAAAGTAGTCACTCTCCAGAAGGAAGGACAGTGTCAGCACCAACGCAGAGATGATTTGAGGATCTATAGCTGAGTGATACACAATTAGATACATTTTTGTTAATAGTTAAGGTACTTAGATGCATTTTTAAGATTTAACTCCTGAGTTTAGTCACATTAAAGTAAGGTGCACATGGAAGGGCTTTACACAGTACAAACACAAAAAATTCCCAGCGCACTGATCAGCTAGCCTGCAAAAAAAAAGCTTACACTGTCCCACGACTGTCTTAAAAACATGGGATTTAGTTGCACAACTCTCTTTTATAGATTAGAGTTAGGACCACGCTACGCAGAGGGGTCATGATGAGGCAGTGTGGCTTCCACATATTTTGTTCTGCAAATAAAACCTCTGATTTAACACAAATTGTGAGAGTGTAAGCTTTTTTTGGCAAGCCAACAGGTAAGTGTGCTGGGAAATTTGTCTGTTTGTACTGGTTACCTTATGAGAGATCTCTCTCTATAACTTCATCAAACCAATCCTGATTTACAAAGCTCCTTGATAAATCAAGTCAAGCTTGCATGCCTGAAGCCACTTTAAAGGCTTAGTATCTAAAAGATGTGTATACATTTGCTCTTGATACTTTTTAGATTTTTAAAAGTGTTTTTTTTATCATAGAATGCCCAGCTAATAATTTGTATGTTGCACATGCTGAAATAGCGACATGGATGGGTGAATGCGTTCCTGCTGTTCATGATGGGAACATTATAGACTGTCAGTCACAAGCCATAAAAGCAGAGGAGGCTTTCCGGTTCCATATAATCACCTAGCCTGCCTTTGTGTTACAGAATCAGTGCGTACATGTGACGACGTAAGCCAAAGTGTTCTCTCTTTGCAAATAACAAGCTATAGTTAATTGTGTCGGGAATAGTGTTTTTTTGTTTGAGGTTTTCTAGTGCAGTAGGATGTGATGATGCTTAATAGGCAAAGGAATTCTATTCTGTAGCTCAGGACATCAGCATCTTATCTGCTCTGCTCCTCCAACTGCATTCATGTGTTAACAGTTGACAATATACCCATTAACACTTGAGAATTTTTTCACTACCACAAGCCATACTTTAGGTGCTTATTGGCAGCACATGCCGGTCTTCTGATACCTAAAAATGTTGCTTTAATCAGGCAGTGGTAAGATTTTTGCTGTCATCACCACTTCAGACTTTTGGCTAGTTTTAAGCCATGTCCCAATTTTAACAATCTCCTGAATAAGTGTGATCTCTTATTGTGTTCTGCTTTTGAGATATGCTAATATTGCCTCCTTTTTGCTAAATTGCATCCCTTCAGACCACATAGAATAACACCGTACATATAAACGTCTTTTCAATGACATGTGTTTTTTGCTTTTACATTTGATTTTTCGCCTTCACTGTAGCAGGCCTGTGAGGTTTGCTCCAAAATAGCTTGTAGACTTGTCAAAAAGTTGCTCTTACAAATTGCAGCCGAGGAATACATAGTCTGGCGCTTCTCAATCTGTTGATAAAAATGCAGCTGCTGTAAGTTCACAAGTTCAGAACCCAGCTAGTGTGTCTGAGGTACTTAATTTTCCTTGGAAGGCGCAGTAAGTGCTAATTTTCATCGGGCAGTAATTGTAATGATTCTGGAGCTTGGTTAATGAGGGAAATATCTGTTATCCCATAGGAGCAGAGGAATAAAGGCATTTCAATTGCCTCTTCCTAGTTAACTTCAATCACAAATCTCAGAGAATCGAGCCTGCCTGACAAAGTGCGGCTTTCCTTGTCCTGTTCTTTTGCTGTCATATACAGGTATTTGGATGCATTTTAACCGTTTAAGTGTCAGGTGCCATAACAAAGGAGAACCCATGAGTTGGAAGCAGGAAATGGCAGGAATCACATGCTTAAGTGGTTGGCAACAATAATGGCTTACAGACATCAGTATGTTTTTAGGTGCGCTTGGCTCCTGAGCTTTACACCGCTTTGATGATGGCTTGACATTTAGTTTGTAATGTCTACTACAAATACCTTTTTAAGTTTCCATCTTATTTCTTTCATCTCACTGACTTTACTCTTTTTCCTCTTAGTTAAAGCCAACCTGCACACAGAATAAAACTTGGCATCATTCTAACCCAGTAACACAATCGCATGGTATTTTAAGTTTTTCTAGGGGGGAAAGAGAGCAAATACCCTTTTCTGATGGTGCTCACTCGCACTTGCTCATTCACCACCAAGGCACAGAGGGCGTAGCCCTGAGCCCGTCCCTAGCCTCCTGGGACACATGTTGCACATCCCAGGGACCTCAACAGTCTCCCTGCAGTATGTTGATCTCGCACATGTGCAGCTTTGCTTTGCGGGGATGGGGCTGCTGTGAGTGATGAGGAAGTGACAGAGGGTACCTGAATCCAAAATGGCAGCACTGGGGAAAAGCTGGCAGGACTTGAGGTGCAAGCAAGCCAGTGCTGGGCTAAGTATGTGTTTTTTAGAAGTTAGCAGCTACAGCATTTGTAACTGCTTTTATTTTGGGTAGTCAGGTAAATGTCTTCTTTAAGCAACTGACATATATTTTTATTTTTTGTTGGCCAAGTAATTCATATGAGCATGTTGTAAAATCGTGATTTCTTAAGAAAATTCTGCATACGGTAGTAATGTTTGAACTGTTTAGTGCAACAATCTCAAGTCCATGCTTTGGATTCATTATTAATAACTGATGATTCATTTATAAACTTTGCTGTCTAGCGAATACCATAAAAATGTAAAAGGTATATGCAGAAAGGGAGAAGGGAACCCTGGGAGGGTGCTGGTAAGACACTGAGATTGACCTGAAACAGTTTAGTGTGATTTAGATGTATTTCCCATTTCGTATATAGTCATATCTTATATGATGAATTTAGTCGTTTAACTATTTTTGTCATTTACTGAATTTTTTTTTTTCTTCTAAATTCCAGGAAGCTGCTACTTTTGCCAGGGAACAAGGATTTGAGGTATGTGGAAACCACACAGACATTTCCTATTCTTCAGCCTTACTAATCTTTATGTACAAATGGAAAGGTTAAGGTTTTTATGTTGCTGTAGCCTATAACAGGATTCCATGTTTTGGGCATTGATTGATGCTCACTGCTGTTGCCATGGCAAATCTTGGATACTTCAGCGGTAATGCTCTTGAACCTTCTTGACACTCTGTTCTCCAATCTGCTTGGCACAGCAACACCCACGTATAATGAAGTTCGTTTGCAATGGGAAGGACCTGCTGTTGCCTTTCTATTATTAAGTACAATGCAAGCATCTTAGCAGGATCTTATTGTATTACAGTAATGTGAAATATATTCTCTCTTTACAGGCAGTTTTACATGTCAGGGCTTAAAGAAGGGATGGGCAACTCTGGCCCTCCAGCTGTGCTTTAACTACAAATCCCATCATGCTTCTGGAAGTCATGCCTGTAATGGTCAGTCTTGCAATGCCTCATGGGACTTGTAGTTCCACAACAGCTTTTGCCACCTCTGGTTTAAAGGCTAAGTTTGTAAAGCGCTGCGCAAACTGTTGGCGCTATATAAATCCTGTATAATAATAATGAGTCACTTTTATGCACAGGGTGTGCAATGCGAACAGGGCTCCTTTCCCCTGTCTGCCCTTCCCTTCAAAAACTGTGCAGTGAGCTCTCTCTTCCCCATTGCAGCAGTGGCTGAGCTCGGTATTGCTACAATGGGGGAAGAGACAGCTCACTGTGCGGCTTTTAAACCAGAAGAGTGCTTGCTCCTGTCATGCTGGAATTGTGCGCCTTGGCAACAAATATATAATCTACAACAACAAAAAATGTCATATGAGCTGCCTTTCCTTTATGTGGTTTGGACTTCTGGTGGTCTATTGTGGTCAATATACAGTGTTTCTGCTTGTCTCTAGTTGTAAGGAGACTGGTTTTGTAACTTTGCAATGCTCAACCCTTGCCCTAAGCCTGAAACACTCTCCATCACTTAAAGTGAATTTCCTCTTTTGCAGTCAAATTTGAGAAAACCCCTTTCTATATGTTTGTTCCCATTCACACAGCATACGGAATTATATATATATATATTGACTGAAATATGTGAATTGTGTTTTATCTCATTAATATCTGAATGCAGAAGCCAAGAATCTACCCCTCAAGCCCCCTCTTAACATTACAAAAGGCAAAAGGAGAAGCATGTAGACATTTTAACCCTTAAGCCAAGAAATCCTAACCAAGTACAAACAATTTAAACTGCAAGATGTATTTTAAATATTGCATGCATTTTAACTCTTGAGTATTTTATTAATTTTCCAAATTACAATAAGACAAAAAAATAGCACATGATGCACAATCAGTATAACATACAATTGCATTACAGTTTCTTCCACATTAGCGTAATCAAGTAGTAGGAGGGGATCACTAGAGGCTATACACACAATATATAATAATTCTGTACAACAGAACATATCTGTCCACCTATTCTTGCCAATTTATCCCCCATCACTAAAATCAAAAATTAGAACAGTCTGAGAGGAATATCTGACCTAGGGATCCGCCTATGTCTGAAGCAAACATTTGTTATGATCTCCTCCATATCTATATCAAATAGGAGACTTTCTGCCCAGCATCTATGTACTAAACGGCTCACATGTGTGAGCATAAAGAAAAAAAAAATAAATAAAAAAAAAAGAGGAAAAAGAAATAGATACTAAAGGAAGCAGAACAGCTTAAGAGTCCGAAAAGAGTAGCTCCATCCCCGACCAAATATCCCAACATCTACTTAAACCTTAAACATAGTCCCCAGAGAAAAATTCCAGAAATTTTTAAATCATTGTTTATCAAGGAGATCGGTCTATAGTTGGAAATTTCCCCCAAGTCCTTGTTGGCTTTAGGGAGAACTGTAAGATAGGCCCTATTTAAATCTGTGTGTAAAGGACTCCCCCGTCTCACTTCATTAAAGAATCTTTCCCATTGAGTCACCAAGACATCCGAGAACTTCTTATAATATAAGGCAGGCAGTCCATCCGGGCCCGGAGCCGATGACAATTTTGCCTGCTTGATAGCTTGTTTAATTTCCAGTGCCGAGATGGGTGCTTCCATAATCATGGAATGATCCAATGACAGGGGTGGAAGGTGAACCTCACTAAGAAATGATCTCAATGAATCAGATGAGACTGGAGTGTTATCCTGATAAAGTTTAGTGAAAAACAAGTGAAATTCCTGAAGAACAGTTGCTGGATGTAATGAGTATGCGCCAGATGTACATCGAATTTTAGGGAACGTGTAAACTCTAGGTTTAGGGGATAGTTTAGTGGCTAAGAGGGTACCAATTTTGTCTTTATGGATGCATTTTAAATATGTTTTGCTATATTTGTTGCTATGTAAATGGGAACATGTAAAAAAAAAATGGTTATATCCCAGTTTGGCTGCGAGAGTGAAAATACACTTTATGGTGAACCTAAAACTTAACTGTAAAATTAGCCCTCATTTTAAACACTACACCTTAAAGTGAACATGTGCTTTATCCATGCAGATTCACTTAAATTATTTTCCCTACATCTGCTTATACTTTGCCTCCCTTCATTCCCAGGCACTCTTTTCACCCACGGGAGTAAAGACAACAAGCTCCATTTTAGTGTCAGGTTGGGATTTGAGTTTTTACACAGGACTGAGGACTCTCACTGTGGCAGAGTTGAGTACCTATGTGGCCTGTCATCAAGCACCAGTGTTGCCATATAGAATGAAGAGGATTGAATCACATGCTCCCAGTTCTCTTCCCCTGCAAAATGGGGTTGCTGGGTTGGTATTAGCAGCTGAATAGGGCACATGGTCACTAAGTTTTTTTTGTTTTTTTTTTAGTGCTCAATATGTTGAATGGAAATCATGAAAGTGTTGAAGGGAAAAAGCACAGTTTCGCTTGAACCCCTTTAAAGCCTAGACTTAATCTAACCTGTAATGTTGACTTGACTCCTTCAGATCTATACATGCTTTGCAAGTTCCCTGCTCTGCACAGAGATCTGTTGCACTGAGTAGCTGGGACAGTGTTTTGCTGACAGTGGCACCGGCACACCACAAGTAATGCTTTAATGCCTATTCTTTCAGAAGTGAGATGAACCTGATCCTGTTGGCAGACATTTTCCAGCAAGTTTGAAAATGTTTGTGCAATAACAAGCAGCTCTGACAGTCAGAGGCATATGTTATTGTCTAGGGAAATGCTTGAATTGGGTCATTGCTTTGGATTGTTTGGTTTTAATTGCTACTTTGAGAGTTAGTTGACAGCACTTACCTTTGCAGTCTGAGGGCTTGTTCACATGATGTCCGGATTTTGTCTGGACCAGAACAGTTCGCTCCTGCACTAAAAATATTTGTAAATTTTAAATTAGGGATGCAACGATACTAGTATCAGTGCTGATACCCAGTATTTGCTTCGATGCTTTCCCCGGTACTGAAACTTCCGGTCAGAGGAAAATTTCCTCTGACCAGCAGTGCCAAAGGGGGAACATGGAGCTGGCTTCCTGGGCAATCAGAAAGCGGGGGGCGGGTAATAACCTGCCTCCCAGCTTCCTGATTGGCTGGGAAGCTGGCTCAATGCTGACTGGCTGGGAAGCCGGTTTCCCAGCCAATCACATTAGAGCCGGGCAATCAGGAAGCCGGGCAGCATGTCATTACATGCCACCCGGCTTCCTGATTGCCTGGGAAGCCAGCTCCATGCCAGTGGAAGCACCATTATCGGCGTGTACCGAAAGCAAAATATCGGTACTCAATAACGAAAACCGGTGCTTCCCTATTTCAAGTGATGCATTTATAAAACAATGCTGTCGCAGTGACAACCTAAGTTAACCTAAAGCATAAAGGAATTGGTGAATATAAGTATCATGTTTACCAATCTCCTTGCTTGGTATCCTGGACACAGATCGCAGCTGTGAGACTGGCAGCAGGAGAGGACTTTGCTTTTATCACCAGAGGTATGAGCGTGAATGTGGAGGCGGCAGGTGAATGCACTAACATTTCAATTTATAGAAGTGATCAGCTGTGCAGCCACTCGGAACATTCTTCTCACAGGGGAGAGACAATAGGGTAAACTTGAAGAGGAAGTTGGGGACAAAAAATATTCTTAACCCTTGCAGCGGGACTATCCCGTGCTGCTGCTCGTCATAGTTAATTTACAGTGTGGTGTGCTCCTAGTCTACACTGTATATTACTTTACTGCAACGTGGTCTGCAGGGAGATTTAGAACATGACCCTGTCTGAGTAATGTGGCAAGTAATACTGTTCTCCTATATATGTATTTAATTTGTGTGTTGAGCTGATTGTAAAGCCCTGTAAGAACTACAGGCAAAGTGTACGTAAACCTTAACAATGAACTGTACTTATCTGCTCACTTTTTGATCTGCTAAATCTAACATAGAAGGTTTTCTATAAGTGCAAAAAATACCTATTGATCCTGCCAGAATTCTATTTGTCTAACAATCTCATCTCTGTGTGCGCAAAAAAGGGTTATAGAGATAAGGAGGTGAGGAGTGGTCTTTTAGAAATTAAGTACAAAAGGCAATGCTGCTTATTGCATTATTTCTATTAATATCCATTGTAGAAGAAATTATAACCCTATGCATCCCCCACCTCATGTCAATTTCCCCCCTTCTCCATTTCAAAAAGCTAATGAGCAGTGGAAGAGAAGAAATTGGAATGAGCATTACTACACTGGTGGTGGTTTTCTTGTTATATTATCAAGTGGAGTTGAGGCAAACTTCTCAAAGTTATTGGAACAATTGTGGAACTTTCTGGGAACATCTTGCTATTTTTACTCCATAATTGCAATCAAGAATAACAAAGGAAAGTGTTTAATATGTGAAGTACTGGAGTCTTTGTACTATGAGCTTTCACAATTTACTGTTTGTTTTTTCCTAGACTGAAGATATCAAGGAGATTGCCAGAAAGGCTCAGGCTCTTCCAAAGGTGAACTCGAAAAGGCCAAGGGTTATTGTATTTACTCAAGGACATGAAGATACCATCATGGCAACTGGTAGGTGATGTGACCTCACTTTGAGCCGTTGTTAAAGGACACTGCCATCCTCTTTATTTGGTCATGTTGTACAGAGGCTTTGACAGAACCGCTGGTGCTGCACTAACCCTTTAACATGAGCACTGTGAAATAAACAATTCTTAGTGAGGTGCATAAAGTCATAGTCCAGCTTTTAATGAAAAAAAAGTATACACAGTCCAAGAAAAATGTGTGTTTTTTTTTTTCTCTCAATGTTTTCAGCTTTTAAACCTGCATTGCAACCGCTATCAGTGGATTGTAGTTGCAATGCTCTGGCACACACTGCCTCCCAGCCCCTGTCCACTTTCGGCTACAAGATGGGAATATGGAAGGAAGTATGAATAGACTACAAGTGCCCACAATGGCAGATACTTGTCTGTCCATTCATAGATCCCGTTAAAGGATCTGTGAATAGATGACATGGCTGTGCGGTCGGATTAGAGTGATTATTGACCAGTCCACTCACCTGCACCACAGACTTTGCTCTCTACCGCTGTCAAAGAATCTTTTGCACCTGGTGTGTTGAATGGCTGATACCCTGCTCTCATGCTGTGGTTCTCCATCCCGTACATCACCACTTTGTCTGGTGGTCATGTAGGCATTGAGCAAAAGAAAGCACAATGTGCAGAGTATGTACAGGCATCCAACACCCCTGGCAGTGTCGGATGTGAAAGATTTTTCAGCAAGTGTAACCCTTCAAAACAGCGAACATTTTCTGGGCAGATAGCTGGTGGGGTAAGTATTCACTCTTACTTAGTTTTAGTTTTTAATTATCGTGAGTAACTTTAACATAGGATTTAAGTACCCCTCTTACTTGCTATTATTGCTCCTTACATTCTTTCAAAGCCTAGTTTAGATGGATTCGGCAAATGTTTTCTTTGCATTTACCGACGTCATCATCACTAACATTGGACCGATTTCTAAAAGGCTGCTACTCCATGGGACTTGTTTAAACAAATTAAGTTACTAATAACAGAATGCGTATGGAAAAATGTGTTTCTTTTCCAGCATGGGTTCTATTTATGTCTGAGTATTAAAAATAGAACCCACGTAGCTGCAGTGATCTTGAAGTGAACTCACCATGGGGAATGTTTGCTTCACCTAATTTGAGACTGCTTTTTTGCTTCTTTGGTAATTAATTGTAAGGAACCAGGATCCCTTTCAGATTGGATAATTAGGATTTTAATTGCTGTAGTAAAACGTCTGTCTGGGATTTCTTCTGCTTATAATTAAATGTACAGTTTTGTTGTAAATCATGTCAGGCTAAGGACTGCCCATACTTGGCCTAATAAAACAAATGCTGAAACCAACACAACAATTTCTTTTTGACATTCAGAACTGGTACAGGTGTAATGAGCTTCTGATGGTTGAAATTATTCTTTAATTTCTTCCAAAATGTTGGGAAATGATTATGAATGAATGAATGAATGAATGAATGAATCACACTAAAGAACACATAGGGAGGTGGGAGTAAATTCAAATAATTAAGTGGATTTACATCAAGGCAGAATTTGCTTCTAAATTAAGCTGCCAATATCACTGGATCAACTGGTTGTTTTGGCATTCAGTTTTTAGTGAAGGTAGACTTTGTTGCATTGTTTTTTTGGGTGGAATAGTCCAGGGTCGTGACGGAGGAAAAGGGATAGGATAGGATGGGTGGTGGTGTTAAAGTGAATGTAAAAAGTACGTACGTGTGTGTGTGTGTGTGTGTATATAAACAAAAAAAAACAATATTAAAAAAATTTATTTGGAGACTTTGAGAATGTAACCTAGAGACCCCATAAAATGTCTGACTATTAATACACAGTGTGATCCTTGTTAAAATGATTTGGGAAAAAAAGCTGGAATGTCACATGGCTGCTTCCCCACTGTAGGCAGTTGGAGTGGCAAATATTAATAGTCAGCATTTAAAAAAAAAAATGTAGGAGGCAAAAGAGCTGCTTTAAAGCTAATGCTAAGCTCTGCATCATGGTGGGTGGGCTTTAGAATTAATGTGCAAGTATGCACAGCATATTTACCCTTTTATGGCACACAACTTTCAAAGTGCCCTTACCCAGCCATGTGACATTTGTGCCCCTCCACATTGCTCTGTTGCTGATGCGTCCATCTTTTCCTGGTCTTCTTCGAGGTCCGGAGTTTTCGGCAATCTTAATTCACCACGGTGATCTAATTCCCATGTATGCACACAGGAGTTACTGCGTTCCAGCACACAGTACACTAAAGGATCAGCAAATATGCTGATCCTCCGCTCGGCATCCTGAAGCTCAACCCCACTCTCCATCCCAATTCCTCCTGTCACTGCTCTCTCCTCCCCATTGGGCGGTGGCAGCTGGATCGGTTCTGATCCCCGCTGCCTTGTACCCATACAGGCGGGGGAGAGCCGCAGGGATTGGAGGGGACACAGCATGCAGCCTGCTCCCAGTGGGGAGGAGAGCGCTGCATAGCAGCGGCCGCTTCCAGCCCGGGCCCGCCTGCTGATCCGATGGGGCCTGGGCGGGCCGGCTGCCTGCAGCGCCCCTAAAAAGGCAAACGCCCACACTACACCTCTGTAGACAAATGTGATTAAAATGTTCCATCAGTAAAACGGCCTCCGATACATTGCTTAGAAATGTTATTAGAATTTGGAAAGTGCAAAGGATTTTTCCAAACAAATGTATATTTTCTCCTAATTGTATCATTTTCAGGGCCCATTCATACCACGACACCCACATGCATTTTCATGCATTCAGGCTTGTGCTAGGGCACTACATCTGGCAAACTATTCAAAATTAATGGGCTACACCGCACCTTGTTGCATGTAAATTTAGTGCAGTTGCATTTTCTTTTTATTCATTTTACACCATGGGTTTTGGTTTACTGACGTGTGTTGCAGAACATGTGTATTGTGAAGTTATATTGAGGTGCCTTTTACTTTTCAACGCAGCACACCAATGCATGTATGGGGGGGGGCGCTTTAGTTTCTCCCTAACTGAAGGACCAACATTTTCTCAGCCTTTCACAAATAATTTTCCTGTGCTTGTAGAACTTTACTGAAACTTTATTGAATTTGTTTTATATTCAAATAACAAAAAATTATTTTGCAAAATCATTTTTATACATCAGATAATTAAAATTGGCCTTCTTCCCTGTACCCAGCGCACCTCAGAAAGGATACACTTTAGTATGATTTCCAAATAAATCTATCAGATTTCCTCCTTATAGTTTTGCACAATACCATAATGTTTTTAACAGTCACAAAATTCTTTCTTTGTTTGTCTAGACCTGGTTTAAATAAAGAATTGGCAAGTGAAACAAGTTTTGTGTTTTTCCATTTATAAAAAGTGGTTTCCCATCTTTCTTCTTGGGGCTCTTTTGTTTAAATAGGAAAACGGAGAATGAGAAAAAAAATTGGAGTTATTCCCAGTAGTATCCAGTCAGGCTTTGCCTTTCATTTTATTGGAAAAAATAAAACTAGAATCCTGATTGGTCGCTATAGAAAATCACTTTAATTCTCTGTTCACTTTTAAAGAATCAGCCTTTTAGTCCACGTGGAACATCTTTGTGTATGCCAATTGTTCAAAAGGTTTAAAATTGGCTTATGCATTTCAGGAAACTATAATTAGCAAAGAGGTTAATGTGCAAAATTATTTTGTGACCTTTAAATACTAATTTACTATCTTTCTGGTTCATTTTCTAGCTCCTGTATAAAAGCTGGAGAAAAAAACATCTAAGATGCTGCTCATAGCAGCTCATTAGGTATTTGAAACTTGACCATGGATATTAAAGAAAAGACAATGAGGGGAATTTATCAAAACCGGAGCAAACAAAATCTGCAGCAGCTCTGCATGGTGACCAATCAGCTTCTCTTTCATTTTCAAATCTTAACTGAACAAACTGAAGAGATAAGCTGATTGGTTGCCCTGGGCAACTGCTCCAGATTTTGTCTGCTCCAGTTTTGGTAAATTCTCCCCAATTTTTTTAGGCATTCATTAAAACATTAGTTTAAACACACTAAAATGTCACCATGCAAGTGTTATACTAGCAAAGGAACATACTTCATGTAGTCCCAGAGATATTTTCCATACCTGTAACCTCATTAAAGTGACCCTAAACTCAGGACTTGAAACTGAAAAATCCATCCAAGTACCTTTTTAAAGGAGAACTATGAGGTGAGTGAAAATGACACATCCTCATAGTTCAAGCCGACGTGTGCCAATGAAACTGTCGCACGTCGGCTCAATAGATCGGGAAGTGAGCGAACACATACCGTCACTCGCTCACTTCTCGATCATCTCCCTGCAGAGAGTGGTCACTGTCGGTCACGGCTCCCTGCAGGGATTCCCCTGCTCCGATGCTCCAGAGCTGACTGGGGTAACGGACGGGGGAGGGGGCGGTTACAGCTGGCTCTGCCTATGAATAGGCTGAGCCAGCTGTCACTCACACAGCTGGGTGGATCTCAACAATGTCGGGCTGCGGCGGTCTCAGTATACTGCGAGCTATAGCTCACGATGTATAGAGCTTTGGGTCACGGGAGGACGCTAGTATATGTGACCCTTAAAAGAACTATTGGGAAAAACACTTACCCCATAGTTCTCTTAACAAAAATGTATCATCTTTGTGTATCACTCGGTTGTAGATCCTCAAATGATCTCTGAATTGGTGCTGGGGAGTGGCTACCCCATGGTCCCTGTGTGTGCTGTAAAGTAGACACCACTCCAAGCCTGCTGCAGTGATGGAATATAATCTCATATTTAGTTTACTGGTATGTATTGAGATTATAGTCCATCACAGGAGTGAGCTTGGAGCTTTGTAAATATTTTTTTTAATTATGCTATGTGGATGAAAACATGCAACCAATATATAATGGGTGTTATTTCAATTTGGCTGCAAATGTGGAAATACATTTTATGGAATAGGCATTTCCCCCATTAGAAGAGTGACGCTGCAGTTGTGGTTTAAAATTATTTTAAATCTAACTATTTTAAGTACCTGGATTTGACTTG